CGTCAACATCCATAGACTCGGGTTTTTGACTCGCTATATCATTAGAAATGCTTCCTCCAGAAGCGTCAACAGAAGCAGTGCCATTATTAGTAGTAGTTGTTGTTTCCTCATTGTTCGTTCAGTTTCAGCTTCTTTTGGATATATGAGGGTATGAAAGTGGATGTAATCTATCATAATCTTCTTGGCCAGCTGTGTCCCAAAGGCCAAGGTTGATTGATCATTATATTAGCTGAATAATTATCAAATCTAAAAAAATGAAAATAAAATATGTTAAAAATATTCTATTTAATCAATAATAATCTTCAGATTGATATACATACACGGCTGGAATATATTCGCCAGGGAAAGCATTTGTAATGTGACTGATTAAAAGACACGTTTTGCCAACAGGGGCCGCATCCATAGCATCTTGATCACAATAATTAATATATATCGAGACACCTTCAGCAGCAGTATCCCAAATCACTTGTTAAATAAAAGTAATAAAATATTGGACAAGAAAATATTATATAATATAGTAGAGTGTAATATGAAAGTTGAAGTGTAATAATGTAAAAAGTAGAAATGTCATAATTATTATATATACTTTAAGTTTCAAATTCTTTATAAAATATATAAATAATGTTCTTAATCAGATCCTTATTAAATTTCGTTGTTAATAAATTAATTGAACTATTGTCGTTTTTAGGGGAGAACGAACCAAATTTTTTAATAAAAGACGAGGTAAACTAAAATAATCTTCCTCAGTTGGTGAGTCTTCTGTTTCAAAGTCAGATCAGTTTCTTGAGTATATAACAAATATTAATATTTTCTAAGAGGATGATGTTAAGTTCTTTATTTATATAAATTATCAGACATTTCTTCATTCCGCTGTAGGAACGAGTATTTGAAAATCATTTTTCAAATGAACCTGATTAGAAAAGAAGACCTTCCATTGGGGTCACTTTTATACTTTTGACGTGAAAAATAATTTTTAATCTATTAAATTACAAATATAATGATCAATTATTTTTTTTTATAAATTAATTTTGATCTAATTTCGGAACTTAATTATTTTTTTTTATATAATTTTGGAATTTAATTATTTTTTATATCACCAAAGTTTTAATTTTGATCTAATTTCGGAATTTAATAAAGGGGTACATTTTGAGGATTACCTTTAATAAATAGTATTTGATTATTATCACGTGATTAGTAATTTGGTGTTGACCAAAATTAAAAATCTTAAACGTGCTAATTTGTATAAAAATATTTTTGAATATTGACATGACGGTAATGGAATAAATGCTAAATTTTCTTTTTTTTTTAAAAAAAAAAATCTCTAATTTATAATTTAGTTTTAAATAAATAGTAAAAGAAAATTTTTATCTTAACAAGTTGATTGAATGATTATTAAATATTTGATCAATTGGTTTTGCTTTATTTGCGTTATAATATTCCTCAAGAATCTGATAATTTCTATTGCTCATTCCAATTGCTGAAAGACTAAGGATCTTAAACTAATAATTAAACATATTTAATAAAAAATTATTTTTTCTGTTCCTTACATAAAACTTTATATAAATTGTAAGTGATTGATGTTACATAAGTTGTTAAAAATAAATAAAATAATTTTTGAAGTTGTTTATATTTACTTTACCATATATTTCACATACTTAGCTTATTGGTTACTTGATATAGCATTGAAGTATTCAAAATCACAGTTTATAGGAGTTGATAAAATATCTATTTCTCATCTATCAGACTTGTCTCTTAACGTAAATATTGAAAAGGAAAATGCATATTATTTATCTTATGAAGATGAAACATTTGCAATTTTTCCTGCAAAAGATAAGAAAGATTCAATATTACCTGAGACTTTGAGAATTCTAAAGCCTGAAAGGTATATTGAATTACAGGAATTTGATTATGATATAATCAATCTATTTCTTATTTTGAAAAATTGTCTAATAGATGTAAGTATTTTCTTATTAAATTTTTTTTTTTTTTTTTTTAAAAAAAAAATAATATTTTGCTAATAATAAAATTTCTGTTTAGTTATTTAATTTATTAAAACTAATAAAATAGATACAAAGTTATATTCAAATATAAAAGAAACTAACTTTGTAGAAATTAGTATGATTGACGTAGAATGTAACTTATAGAATGAAAGATTTAATAAATTAGTAATTATGATCAATTTAAATCCATTTTGTTTTTCTTTTAATTGAACAAAATTATTCATTAATCCCCTTTAATTATAGATTCTTATCTTCTTTGTAAGATTATTGAAATTGAAGAAGTTCTATATTTAAATTTACTGATCCTTTTGAAGAAGAAGTAAATATATTCAAGATTTCATATAAATTATTTTCTAGTTTAAAATATATTTTCTAAATAAAATAATATCATTAATCTTCATATTCTTTATTTTTCATTTTTGTATTCTTTATTCTTTTTTCTTCATCTTTGTATTCTTTATTCTTTTATCTTCATATTCTTTATATTTGATACTCAAAGATATTAATAAATTTTTTGATTTTACTGATCATTAATACATTCATAATCACCTATTATTATAAATTAAAAAAATCTTATTAAAACATTTTGAAAAGAAAGTTTAAGACCTTTTGATAATTCATATATGTAAATTTATGATATAATAACTCAAAGGTCAAAATTAAAATCATGAGATCTAATTGAACATATAAAAAATTTTTTATTATTTTAAAATTATTATTTGTGTTATGATTTATATAACAAAAACTAAAATAATGATCACTTAAAAGAAATGTATACTTAAATTTTAAATCCTAAATCTGTTTATTATCTCAAAGGTTCATTAGGTACTTGTTTAACTATTAGTCACACAGTTTATAACATGATTAAACCAATAAAAATTTGTATTACTAAGAAAAAAAATTTAAAGAACAGATGCGTATATAAAGAATATATGCTAGTAATTTTATTATCTAATATTTTTTAATGGAAAATTCCAAATAGCAAAGACCTACTGAGAAAGAAGATTACTTTACTTTATCTAAAATAATATACTATAGTGATTGAAATTTAATTATATTATTATTCAAAAAGATGTTTATTTACCAACATTAAAACTATATTATACTAAAACATTCAATTATTTTTCCATTCCTGAAAATTATATTATTCAAACTATTTGGGATTAGACTAGTAATTGTCATATCATTCAATACTTTATATATTATGTAAAAGAAATTTCATATTATTTAATATATTTTGAAAATAATTTTCAATCTCAAGTTATTTTGATTAAATCTCTGTTTGATATTTCTGTTGAATTACATAGAATGAGTGATAGCAAAAATTATACTTTTTTAATTAGTAAAGCTTATAATAACTAATAAACATATTATTTATTAGAGAATAATATTAGATAAGAAAACTGCTATTTCTGGAGTTCATCTTTTTGGACTTCAGTTAAAATGTACTGATAAAAATCGCAAAAGTAAATCATGAAAATTAAAACTCTATGAAAAATCAAATAAATCAATCCAGTTCAAACGTGCTAAAGGCTTTGCAAAATGAAAACAAATACATTTTGAAAAGTCAATTAAAAATTTTTACAATCCTAAAGATTGTGTTGTTTTAAAAGCTTTGAATTTTACTGTACAATATAAAGATTATTGTGTAACATTTAAAGATAATGATAATATTACAAAAAAACAAAAATTATAATCAGTAGTTTATGTGCAAAATGTAAGAAATATTTCACATAATATATATCGTTATTTTATTACTATAAAATCAAAATTATTATGAGAATATGCTATTTTTCAAACTCGACAAGAAATTAATATATACATAGAGGAATTAATATCAATTAGGTTTATTGATTTAAATCCTAATCTTATACAAGAATATTCAGTAAAAGAACCTGACATAACTGATCTAATAATTGTTAAATAAGTTACTAGTGCAGTTAGAAAGGGTGCTATCAGAGCATTAAAAAAATTCTTAAATATATAGTACCAGCATATATTTAAAAAGGAAAATTAGATTCTACAATACCAATTATTTATCTTCAAATCTCTGGTGATGGTAGAAATGTGGGGAGGAAAGTCAAATATATAATGATTACTGTGATATTATTAGATAATGCAATAAACTATTTGAATCAAATTATCATTATACTACTGTTTTATTTCTAGGTACTGAAAATTATTCAACTTTAAAAGTTACTGCAAATAGACTTATTAAAGAATTAAAAAAATTAAACAATACTGAAATGATTATTAATAATATTCTTTAGAATTTTGAGTTATTTTTTAGTTTAGACTGGAAATTTTTTGCTATTTGTTTGAGTTTTAATGCTGCTAATTCCAATTATTTCTATCTTTGGTATATAATAAATAAGAATCAACGTGAAAATGGATAAATTAAATAGACAATTAGCAAATCAATAAATACTTTAAATGAAAATCTAACAAAATACTTGAATCATCAATTGCTTTTACTTTTAATATGATCCTACTTGAAAATCATGTGCTAGATAAACTTCATATCATATTATGAATTACTGATTATTTATGGGAATTAGTATTATAAAAAATTAAAATTAAAGGATTATTTAATGATATAACTCAAAATATTATAATTAAGGAAATGGAAAAATTAAAAATCTGATTTGAATTTTAGAAAGTTTGTGATAATGTTAATAATTGAAATTATACTTCTTTAATGGGAGATGATAAGCTTTGTGTACTTAGAAACTTTGATTTGACTAAATAATTTGACTCAGAATATGCAACATTAATCAAAAATTTATGAAATAGATTTGCTAAATTATATGATCTTTTAGGAGAGAAAGTACAGATCCACAGTATTTTCATTTAAAAGCAAAAGCATGATATGAATTATTTTTAAAGAAAATAGTAGTGAACCCTATAACTAATATTATTTTGATACAAGAACTCTATCATTTTTCAGATGTAATACCTTATATTTATGTTTTAGTCTCACATGTTTGGGAATTTATGTTTATACATCAAAGATAGGGATTAAATGCCTTTTCATGTAGTGCTGTCGAAAAAAAAACCACAATCATATTAGTTACTTTTTTAGAAAAACTCTCAAAAATGGTGGAAGTTTTCAGAATAATAATTCTGCTATTTGTGAAATTTTGGAATATGAAAACTGACTTTTTTTTATACTCAAAACAATGTTCTTCTTTCATATTCTAAACCTCAACATATTCACATTTTATAATATATTCTTACTTTTTATACTTAGTTAATAATTAGATAGAAAACCACCCTAGCAAACACTTTATTATAATTGTAATACATACAATTTTTTTACAAATAAAAAAATTTTTTGCTAAATTCTAATAATAAAATTAAATTTGTTTTACCCAAAAATTTATATATATAAAACCTGCTTCACAATAATTTTCCTTTGCATCTTTTTCAACTTTAATTTTCCATTCGATAGTCACTTCCCCGGGATTATATTTAGATTTATATCTTTTAATAGTTATGCTTTCAGCAGCACGAGCTGCAATAGCCAATGGATTGTTTTTTAAATGTGGAGGCGGATCATCAAATAAAACAACATAAGTTTGTTGCTCTTCATTATAAAACCTTCGACCCCATAATGGATTGTTCAAAATTTCACTTAATGCTTGATACCCAGAAGCAGTGTTGTCATGGGACATTGATGGGACATAGATGGGACAGATAGGACATTTGGGACATAGTGTGGGACAGGTTGGAACATATAGCTGGGACAACAAATCTCTGGGACATCAAAAATGTACATCACTGCCCAGAAGCACCTCGAAAAACACATCTATAGACATTCTTATTACTACGATGATGAATATGTCCTTTAAAAATATCAAAAAATTGATGTTCGGTACATGCTAGTGATACTAATTGACGACCTCCTTTTTTAAACCCATTTGGAAGCTTGCGGTGAATCAAATAAACCAGGATATTTTTAAAATTTTTATTATTTGTTTCCGATAAACTATCCAAATTATTATGTGAAATATTGTATTTATTTACAATAGCCAAATGTCGTGAAGTCCACTTGATTTCTTGAAGCTTTTTTGACAAACAGAACAAGAAAAATCGGAGATACAAGACGTTGTAAATGGAATAAAAACTGTGTTAATACTTGACATATTAGTGATGGAGTTGCTGTAATGGAAAAAGTGTAAGACTTATAAAAAAAAAAATAAAAAAATTAACATATTATAAGAAGTTGGTTATAATTACAATTAATAACGGTAATATGTTATAAAATTTGAAATCGCGAGATTTCAAATGCCTTTTACTAATCTTTTACAACTTAAACTCATCGGTTTTTGGTATGTGATTACTAAATTTAGAAATGAGATTTAAAGAGGTTTAGATGTTTTAGACGACATCGTTTGCATTAATTTTATGGAATTCTATATCTTATTTTACTTGGATGTTAAAATTCTTTGAGTATTAATAAATATTTTCATAACAATTCTTTCGAATATTTCTATATATCTGGAGTTTGAGTAGCAACAGCTGCAGCCGCAGCCGCAGCTTCTGCCCTTTGGCCTTGTTTCTTCCATATTTTAGTGTAAACGATGTTGAATAGTATCAATAAACCTAACCAAGTGTAGGTTATTATGTTTGACAAAAGAAAGGCTTTTTCAGTTGATGTCGATTTGAGAACAATAAAAACACGGATAGGTACTTCAGCAAGCAACCCAAGTCCCCAGACAGCTGTCAAAACAATAAATCCACGTCGAAACAAGGAGTAGGAATTCCAATATCTGTCCCAACGTTCAGGGATAGGTTCATCCTCCGTTAAACCTGTAAGGGTACTTCCTGAACTTAAATGACCAAAGGAACCACCTGTATCCATATCTCTACCAAAGTAGAATGTGAGTGGTCGCATTCGAAAGGAACCAACCTTGATTGGAATCAAAGTAACTAGAAATGTTAGACCCACGGTACCCGTAATTGTTGTTTCTCGTAGTAAATGTATTCGTGCATCGTTTTTTACTATTGCCAAGATAGCACCAACAATAGTAGTGAGTATTATAAGTAACCCCAAAACATCAACACGCCTGTTACGTATAATGCCAAAGATAACGGCACTAAACGGCGGGACACCAGAAATAATCAGTGCCCAGATTTCCGGTATATATTTTCTAAGGATATAATAGAGAATAAGTGGTAAAACAATCTCGAAGGATATCATTAATCCAACTCCCAGAAATCTCTTAAATTTTTCTTGTCGAACTGATTTGGTATCATTTCTTGAAGATAATTTATCATTTTCATTCGATTCATTTAACATTTTTGCCTTTTTTTTTTTGAAAAAAAAAAACCCCCGGTCAAATCGATCGCATATTTATGGCGGAATCGAATCATACCTTATTATCTGCTATTCTTGACTAGCTGGAGTTAATGCTCCACTACAAACGTAGATTTACATATCTTTTTAAGATTCCTTCCCAATAGAAGTAGCAGCATAGTAAAGAATGTGCAACATACCGAAATAAGAAAATTTTTAAGTAATCCGTTCTTGGATTTCTTTTTTGGGAAAACAAAAAATTTAACGTAAAAAGTCATGTTTTGCTAAAAATAAATAAATAAATGTATATATCTTTATTTATATTACAAAAAACTTAGTGATTTCCTTCCCAAGGTCAAATTTAAAAATACAAAGGCACCATAATTATTTGGCATTTATTTATATAATTTATAATTATACTTTGAAACGGTATAAAATGATCGGAAGCAAAATTTGCCGAACCTATTTATTTTGCAAATAGAAAAGTATCTTAACTAATTTTATCATCAAAAAAAAAATTAAAAATTTTCGAGTACCTCGAGTTATTTTTATTAAACTAAACTATTATATATATATATATAAAATACTGTATATTATTAAATTAAAATATATTGATCTTTCTTTAAAAGCGAACTCTATTTTCAGTCAGATTAACTGTGTAACAATTTAAATTAAAGGATATTTTAAATTAAAATTTAAGTTTAAAAATTTGTATTTTAAAAATTATTTTTTAGGTTATCTAGCTGTAAACTTAAAAAAAAAAATTAGTAATTTTAGTAATATAATTATTATATAAAAATATAGTTTAATATTTATTAAATTCATTAAAAATATCTATTTATTAAAAGTATTTAAATAATTCAATTTTAAAATCATGTTTTAAAAAATTTATTATAATAATTTTTAAAAATTTAAATATTTGTATATTAATTGAAATATTTTTGCAACTAATAAAATCATAAAATTTATTAATAAAATTATAGAGTTATAATAATAAAAGTTTTCTTTATGATAAATTTTATAATATTATTAGTTCAAAATATAATAAAAGACTATATATATAAAAAGTATAGAAATATTACTGGTAAAATTATATTATAGATCATATGATTTATAATTTAAATTTACTAATAATACTCTCTCATATTATGTATGATTAATATATTATAATCATTATAAAATGATAAATTTAAGCATTTATTAATTTAAGCATCCATATTACTTTTTATATAATATTTACATAAATTAAAATTAAATATCTTAAAATTTAATTTATTATATAATACTAAAATTATATGGGGACGGTTAATAGAAAAGGGAAAATCTATTTTTTAGTTAAAAATTTTTTATTGGTTTACTTTGCTGATTATGATTATATGAACAAACTAACTTAATAATTAAAATTAGTAGTTTTTCTTCTTTTTTATTGATCATATCTATATTATAAATTAATTTTTTGTGAAATTTTATTGGTTATTTTAAAATTTAAATTTTTTTGCAATAATTACTAATGTAACTTTAGTATAATTTTAACTTAAATAGTATCATCTATATAAAATAGTAGTGAATTTATTTTGTAAAATATTTATTATTAAAGATTAATATTAAAATTAAAATAAAATTAAGATTTATTCTAGTTGTTTTTAATTTTGTTATAAGAAAAATGCTAATTATTATAATTATATATTATTATATTATAATTAATATATATATAACTTAGTAAATAAGTTTAATTTATTTTTTCTTTATTATTATAAAAATTCTATATAAAATATTTATTTTAATTTTATTTATTTTAATATTAAGTGTTAATTATAAAAGATTATTTATGATTATAAAAACTAAATATCTTATTTTAGTTATTTAAAAAAATTAATTATTAAATAAATATTATAAAAATTTTTAGAATTTAAATGTAACAAATATATATAAATTGATTAATTATTTTTATTTAAAAGGTATTAAGTAAAATATAATTATTATTTTCTTAGTTTTAATTTTATTAAAAATTAAAAATTTTTCAGTATGTAAAATATTTTCTATCAATACTATTATTACTTTTAATATTATAAAATTTTTTTAATTAAATAATTTTACTTTATTTTAGATATTTTCTTATTTAAATATTTTTTTAATTGTAATAAAAAAGAAAATCTATCAAAAAATATCTGTTATATAAAAGATAAATTATATAAAAATATGACTTTTTTTAATTATTAATTTTATTCTTAAAATTCTGATTGAATAGTATATAGATATGATATTTATTATAAAGATCTTTATTAAATATATAATAACTAATAAATCAAATTTAATAAAAAAATTTTTTTAATAGAAAATGATATTTAGTTTTATAATTTAATATATAAATTTTTTTTTTCTAATTATAATAGTTATAAATTTAAAATTTTATATCTTTAATATAAATTTTAATTTATAACTATTATAATTAATTTTTTATTTAAAAAATTTTCTTTTTAATTTTTTAGTTTTAATCATATTTTAATAAACTTATTTATTAAAATTGTTTTATTTAAAAAATTTTCTTAAAGATTTAATATTAATATATAATAAAACTTATATTAAAATGGGACCTTTGCAATAGAAAAAGAGAAAATAAAAAAAGATTCAATTATTTTTTTATAATCTTAATGTTACTCATATTAATAAAATAATGTTTATGTGTCACGCCTGTATACGTACAAGCACGTTATTTATTGCTTAGGGTTTTTATAACGTGACTTTCGCGTCAGTGCTAGTGAATATATTTCTTTGATGATTATGGATTAAATAGTCTCCTGATAAATTTTTGTGTAAATTTTATCCTGGTTCGTTCGAACATAATCCAGTTTGAAAGCCATAGCCTATCTAGTGGTGAAAATTTGTTCTAAGTTGGCGGAGTTGTCGTTGAAGGTGAAACCTTAAGTTACAATTTTGGGAATGGAATTACGAATTCAACAAGAAACAAAGTTTAGTCCTCAACATTATTGGCACGATTATTATAGAATAAGCCTTTAAATATGTCAATTTTTTTGGAACCACGTGTTCCGGGTTTTATAACAATTGATTTAGGATAGGATTTCAGTACATCTTAGGATCAAGATTCGCCTTTGTTTTGACGGAATGTTTTGTGGTTGTCATTTTTTAATTAATACTCGTTTCTCATACTGGTATTATAAATAGTAATGGTATTATCTTTAGGAGTCAGTTATAAGTATACTGTATGTTCGGTCCTTGTATTGGTAGGCCTTTTTTATTTGTATATTTTATTTTATTTATTTTATTTTTGTTTTTTGAACTAGTAAGTTGATTCCCTAGGTCCGTTCATATCTTTTTTCGACATATTCAAATATTTTTGTATAGGCAAATAACTTGAATAGAGGAATTACATATTATGTTCCTAACATTAGGATCACTACTTTCATGGTACTAGTCGTCTCGCGATGATGTGTTCTCCGAATTTATCGCTATCCGTTATGTTGAAAACGTTCTTAGAATCCTTTTGAAATTAATTTTGCGAAAGTTCCAGTTTCTGATGGTTCTATTGTCTGAAAGTTTGTTTTTGAGATGTATGTATTTAGGTACAAAAGTGTAACGGACGTGGGAGTTATAGTTCTCTGGAAGGGCTGTTAGGTAATATGATGTTGCTTTCGATCATATTCTCGCAATCACAATAACATCCACGCGTGTGTTTTGGAATTTGATTCGGTTATATTTTTATCCCATCTGCTAATTTATTCGTTTTTGTCACTTCTTTTTTTTTTAGTAGACAGAATCTATCTATTGATGTGATATTGTCCATCTGCTTTCTGCCATTAGTAGAGTAGGGAGTCCACGATGTGAAGGGGTGTAGTTTTTTTTTGTGAAAGAACCTCCTAGGATTATTTTCGTTTGTACGTCTCATTTATTTGAATAGCTTTGCTGGAGTAGTATACGCTGGTTGACGAAGTTTTTATAGAGTGAAAGATAACCAACGTGGTCTGAATCTTGGATCGCTTAGACCTAGCGTGCTTTTTTTTTTTTTTTTTTTTTTTTTTACAATTCTTTACTTTCGGGGGGTAGGATAGGTTCTATGTTTGGAACGTTAAGAGAGTTGTTGTCATCGCGGACGAATTCTGCCATTCGTCGCGAAGTACTGGTAGTTCTCGTCATGGATCTGGTTAGACAAATCCGCTGTAGCCGTTGGTTTGAGGGCGGTTTTGTCGTAGTGATCGGAAAAGAACGACACCCTCGTGGCGGAAGGGGTTGTGCGATCAAAGGGTAGGAATCTCCTGGGATCTCATCTGAAAATTTTGTTAGTATTTGGGAACCGTAATCTATTTCGCGATTTGTACGTGAAGGGAGCTTGATGACTTATCTTGAGAGCGTTGACTTTGTTAATCGTAACTGATTTTTTTTCTCTGATGTCTTTAAAAGAAATGTAATCTCATAATAAATATTGCTCCATCATGATTTATATACGTCACGATAGCATAGTAGTTAGAAATATTCATTAAATAACAATCTTTAATCCTTGCCTCCTCTATTGGAGACCGGAATTGACCCAGTTTTAGAAATCAATCATCAAAACATCAATCTGACGATTATTTCATTTCGGTCCTAAAAACATTTATTTTATTACGTTTATTTAATTTTTTTTTTCCGGAAAAGATTTAATTTTTATTGAAAAGTAACATGATATTTACATATTGTAATACAATTAAAAAAAATCTACATGATAAAGGAAGGTGGCTGTTGAAAATTTCGAAAACACGAATTTTTCTACCGATATGTGAAATAATTCCAAAAGATTTGTAATGATTCGCACACCGATAAAAAAATTCGTGATTTCGAAATTTCAACATGCTGAAAACTACTTTTAAGATAAAACAAATTTGAATTAATCAAATGTACAATGAACCATTGATCTAAAAATAACAAAAAAAAAAAAAAAAAGAAAAGAAAAATGGTTAAGCAATGTTACATAATCTGTTGTTGCTTATGATTGTGAAGCAACAGGTGAT